TGTTTAGGTTTATATTCATATCGTATTCTTCCGCATGTTGGCTTTCTTCGTAGATGGTCTCTGGCGAGCGTTGTCTGGCGGTGGACGACGACTTCTCGACGAATAACATGAAGGAGATGATCGGAGGTTGCTGTGTGTGTTCAGACGAAAGAGGTTGGGCAGAAAACCCACTTGTGTACTGCGACGGACACGGTTGCAACGTCGCCGTGCATCAAGGTAAGCCGTGCCGCTAGCTCGGCTAGCAGGTACAGATAGCTTTCAGGCTAGTTAGCGTTGTCTAGCAGCAAGGTTATGCAGCTCTCAACAAGGCCAGACTGAGGTCAGGCTTAAGTCAGGCAGCAGGGAAACCCGCTGCTTTGGCTTTGCATCTTAAATTTATCTGCTTTGTGCAGTAGTTAGCAGCTGTTGCGTTACATGACCATATTTTAGAGTGCGAGTCTTGTTAGTTTCTTTCTGTCAGATTCTGTTCTGTGTGATAGCGGAGGGATTTGCTACATTGGTCTAAAGGTGTAAACTTTACATCGAGCTTTTCAAAATGCATAGTTAAGTTCACTTAGTGAATCACATTATAAGAAGTGATGCAGGACATTTGAACTGTTATTATAATAATAGTAGTATTAGGCCTACTACTTATTGACTGTAGGAATCTAAACTGTGTTAATCGTGGAAGGTAACCTTATTTGGACACTACTGTTAATATTGGAAATCCAAATTTAGTTTTGATAAATAGAGACTGTTTTGTAATGTAATTCACGTTAGTTTCTATTAGAATAACTGTAATACAGTGTTGCCAAGCCAGTGCTCACCCAAGATTACTTAGATGGTGGCCTCCCGTGTTTACTAATTTATAGCCTGGCCATGTGTTCACTTGGCAAACAGTGGGATACTGAAAATAATTTGAAATGTAATTGTGAACCCATACAGATACATGTCAGTGTATTTGTTGTTAGTGTTTGGACTGTTGAATAGGCCTGACAGGTGTCTGTAAATAAATCCAATAAATCTATTAACTATTACGTACCTGGCAGTTACATTGTTTTGACCCCCCCTTTTATGTTTCTGTCTTGAAGTTGCAGAAACGAATCTTTGATGCCAAGAGTAGTAATGGACCTTTTTTTTTATTATTAGATACACTATTATAAAGGCATATTATATAATCTATTTAATGTGTATGGCCTTGCAAAGACACATAGTATGTAGGATTGGAATGACACAAATAGATCTTCTTCCTCCTTTAGTGAATAATTATTAGCAGACAAACTGTGTTATATTAAGAATAAATATGGTTTTGATTCAGGTAAGCAACAGCACTGTGTGTTACTTTGTCCACATCTGCAAGTAACCCACATTATGACCGTACCTGTTTAAATCAATTATATCACTAGTAATGTTTATCAGTGTCCAGTGAGTGGCTTATTTATGCATTTTACATTAAATACAAATCCTATAGAGTATATAATAGTTTTGAAAGAACACTGAGGGAGTGCATGCAATTATTTGAAAGTGGAGATAGCATTTGGTGTGTAGCTGCATGTGTCAGAGTGGTTTCATTGTTATTGCATAGATGTATTTTATAGTATAAGATGTAGACATTTGTTATGATTGTGATGACTGAATGACTGACTCTGCTTTATTTCCATGTTTTCGTCTCTCTCCAGCCTGCTATGGCATCGTGCAGGTGCCTACAGGGCCTTGGTTCTGCAGAAAGTGTGAATCTCAGGAGAGAGCAGCCCGTGTGGTGAGTCACATAATCCATCTATCCATTCATCGTTTGAGTGAACTCCTGGAATAACAGGGCTGTCTGGCAAAAATAGTTGACCTCTAGGGATGTAAAGTGCATGTTTCATCACATTACCAGCCAGCGAGATAATGTTTGCCGGTACATAAAAGTTTGCCATGATGCAATTTTGGTTTGATTCAATTCAGGGGCCTGCAATTGATATGAAATAATAATATGTGCTTATCCCAATCATTCAACAACATTTGTATAAAACTTACAAATGCGGCTAAAATATTTCAACATTTTATTGTGCTCTTCTGCTCAGTATATTCAAGCTCACCATGACCTTCCAATTGAACTTTTATTTTTGAGAAAGGAAGCATTTACATAATCACATAAAATGCTTGGAAAATTCCATATTTTCTACACTTCAGTAAGATTTTAAGTTTAAAGCTTTAATCACTCTGCTCAGAAGAATATAAAATGAAGCGACTTTGCTTCTGCATCTCTGTGTTTGCTCCATGTGACCTGTTGCTTCTGCACAGCATTGCGCTTAGCTGCTGTCTTCCTCCTCTTCCACGTCTCTCTCTTCCTGACGCTTTCTTGCTGCTTTGACATCGTTGGTTGAAGTTTAGAAATATTTGAAACACATTAATTGAATTGCTAATCACACTGGTTGGGCTGTTTAGCTTTCCGACGTGTGTTTTTTTTTTTTAATGTTTCTAGTGTTATCTCAGTTTTGCTAATACTTTTGGTCCATACTGTCTGTACATGCAGAGGAGTCCTTTGAGTCTTGGAAAATATTTTTTCAATATTCCTCTGGACTGAAGGAGCAAACATTCTGCATCAGCGATTCAGAATTAGCATTAACTCTATCCACTTGCAGAGCAGTTGATATTGACTAGCAGCTATATAGCCGACAGCGTCACAAATGCCACATATAAATCACTGAATGGGATAAACTGAAATATGTTGTTTCTATTAAAATCATTAGTAATCAACAATTAATATGCTTTTAACAAGTGTGACCTTGTACAATATAAAACTTAAACCCAGTTTTTGATGCATGCAAATTATTGTCTGATTATCATTATCGACAGCATCCCAAAAAAATCCAGATATCATTTTTTGTCAACATTGCAAACCCCTACTGTGAAGAAGTGTTTGTTTGTTTTGAGCTGAATAATACAAAATATGGGTGAAGTGTTCTTTTAAAAAGAATAAAAGTGTTTTAGGTTATTGTTGTTTAATACAAGCTTTTTGGTGACTATTATTTACACATAAAGCATTTGAACAGTTTTATGAGATAATAAAGAAGGAAATGAAGACAACCCTCCCTTGGATAAGAGGTTGATAATGGTTGGATGGATTAGAGTTCATCATCACTACAGCCCTATAAAATGTCAGTGCTGTCAGATTGCACATTAAAGCATTTAATTTTAAAGCATTCTAACAGAACTTGACAGTGAATAAAATAGTTACCATAGAAATTTTAGGAAGGTGTTTGAAAACCTGTTCAGCAAGATGAATTTGATAAGGATTATGGAGTTGAAACGCCTTGATTGTCTTATTTCTGATGTGTGAACTTTAACATGCAACAAAAAATATTGGTGGGAGAAAGAGTGAAAGAAGGAACAAGAAAGTCTTTGTTCTGTTACATACTTCACTTTTTGTAAACCACAGTTTTGTCCTTGAGATGAGCAACACCAGTTCATTTGTGAATTGAGGAAGAGCTGACTTGTCAGACTGTAGCAGACAAAAAGACTTGTATTAACTGATATATAAACACAATGTGCTAGAGTTGGGGAAAAATGGATTCACATAAGAATTGCATTTCATATCTTCTACTTTTCGAAGTTGATTCTCAAATACTAAAAAGAAGGAAAATAGGAAAAGGAAATAATTTGTTAATGACTTGATGATGAGCTTTGAAAGACAAGCATGGTGAATTGTGTGGATACTTTGTAGCCCATCACCAACAGACTGACATTAGCATAGCGGTGCAGTGAATGAGAGCAGCTCAGTAACACATGCTGCAGCGCTTGAGCTGAACCGGTGGGGCAAAGAAAAGACCTTTTTTCTATAGACCTATGGCCATTTTGGATAACTCTTGCTTTCTCTGGTAGTAATGCTACAGTAGCTGTTCTGCCCTGCTGCAGATGTAATGTTAACAACAACATCATCAAAGCATCAAAATATAACCTAAGTACCAATAGTGAAAGTTGGCCTCAGTATGCACATTGGCACATTTATATTATTGGATTATTGATGCATTGTTGTGTTCATTGCAGTTAATGCTGCTAATTTAAATAAATTTGGAGCTAATTTAAATAAATTTATAAGCTTATAATTTCAGATACTTGACATAATGTTGTGTAGCAGTATGTAAAGCACTTGGTTTTGATGTTCATCAGAACCAATTATCTTAACTCTCTGTCAAGTAAGTGCCAAAATATAGTGGCCTTTTTTTTCTAATCGAATGTTTTTGATTTGATAATTATTCAGAATAGAATCATGAGATCAAGAATTGGAATTGAATTGAATTGAATTGAATTGAATTGAATTGTGAGCTTGCCAAAGATTCCCACCACTACGGCATGTACACACACACACACACACACACACACACACTTGAAGAAAGAAACTACCTTAGCCCACATATGTGTTTTCTCAGGGTGTTTTCCCTGAGAGCTTTACCTGCTTATACACCAACATATTTGTATTACTTAGGTGTTTACCTCATCCTGAGAAGATTAGATTTTTTTTGTTGTCGTTTCTGATACATTTTCTTTACCCACAGAGATGTGAGCTGTGTCCTCACAAAGATGGAGCCCTCAAGAGGACAGACAATGGAGGTAGAATCCTACTCAACACCACACACACATGCACACACATCTGTGGTTACCCTCCTGTGTATTTTGTCATTAAGTGCATGTCACCGGCAAGTTTAAGGAGTGTGAGCATGCTGGGAGAGTTATGTTGCTGTTTGTTGTGTGCGCTGCCTCTCTGTACGGTCCTTGCCAGCCTTACTAAGTTTTACGAGTGTGAGTGAGTATGTGTGTTTATGAGGGGGCGGGCCGGGATGGGTATAGTGCATGGCCTGTGAGAAGGCTTCTCTCTGGGTTCACTGGGAGGTCAGCTTGTTGGAGACTGTAAATATTCTGTGTGTGTGTGTTGCGTCAGAGAGGCACAGCTGTGGGGTTGTGTCCAGGTCTGTAGGAAGACATCAGGACAACACTAACACACACCGTTTTACTACTTTCTCTTTTATTTTACCCTTCACATGATTCAGTTCCTCTCTGTTTTTTCTCCCACCATCTCTTCCCCCCTACTGTCCATTTATCTGCTCTTGTCAGTTCCTCTTTACTCATTGATCCTTGTGGTAGTTGCTGTTATTTCAAGTGGGACGGTGAAAAAAGAGAACAAAGGGATTAGTCTGTGCTTGTCCTGGCAGTTTTTTTGCCCTTCTGTAGTTGTATACGTTTGCGCTGTCATTATAGCAGGAATTTATATATAGTAACATACAAAGTTGAAAGCATAAAATCAATGACAAGTTCACTTTCTACAAGTCAGCACCAAGAAGTGTGGCAGTTTTAAATTAGACTGGGGTTGTGTCCCCCTTGGTTTACAGCAGAAGCTCATAATGCTTTCCTGAAGAACCGACAGTGCTTTGCATCCTTGTCAGTTCATTTAAAATTAGCATCAAATTGATTATCAGCTATGATTACTGATGCTCTGACTCTGGTAACTTCTCGGCGTAGAGGTTGTTTGTAAAGGAATGCTTTGTTGGCTTTTTGGGGGCTAATAGTGTTAATGCTCAGTTTGAGGAGGAAGGCTGTGCCACTTTTATAGTCCTGTTTTATAGGCTTCTTCCAGCTTGTTGGAGGGACTTCAAAACAACAACATTCCCTCATTTCACACCCGCTCCCTCCTCTCCATCCCGCCCTCTGCCCTCCTCCCCCTGTCCCGTTGAGGTCAAAGGCAGGTCAGGGGTTCAACTGTAAGTTTAAGCCTGTTTTTTTTCCTGCTATGGGGAAAAATGAACACCTCCAGCATGGCAGGAGACTCCTACCTCCATTTGGCCTCCTATTCACCTCCTCACCTGCTCGTCAATTCCTCTGCCACCCCACCATGCTGCACTGTCATTCTACCACTCCCAGTTTTGTCATCAGTGACAGGCAGCTGTGTTTTTTGTGTTGGCACTAAATAAACATCAGCTTGGATAGATTGACCTCAGATTTACAAATTAAATATCTGCAGTTCAACATATCAAAGTTAAACTCGACATCTCATGCTTGATATGTAAAAGTGTGACTTGATGAAGATCCAACTGGGAATGTCTACTTACACATTTCACAAATTAGAGTGTGATGACATTCTTTTTAGGGCTGCATGATTATGGCAACTTACATTTTGAGTCTGTGTTACAAGTTAGAATAAAATAAAGCATCACTGGGGGGCATCACTAGTGTTTTTAGGAGCTATGTAAACAGCAGCAGAACTGTGCTGCCACTTTTAGTTCGAATAGAGTTTTTACAAACTTTACAGAACAAGGTGGTCAGTTCCATGACAGATCTTGCAAAACTCAACCATTCCACTGACATAACATGATTACATTATTGGAGATGCTCAACAACACTCACACATGCAGGCGCCTCCAAGGAAACGGCAACAACTTACACTATTGTCGTAACTCCAGAGACCTGCTGGGGCTGGTGTTTGACTGACAGCAGAGGAAGCACTAATGTTGATTTTCCAACTTAGGCATTTTTCATATTGTTCAAAAACAAAAATCCAGAATAATTTGATATAACTTAGCCCTAGCTTAGCTGATGCTTAAGGATTTCTTTGTTTCCACAAACTCATCTTTGCTGTTGTATACGTGGGTTATGATCTCTGCTTCATGGGTATGCAGAGGCTGATGGTTTTTTTGTTTCCTTGCAGGCTGGGCCCACGTGGTTTGTGCCCTTTACATACCTGAGGTGGAGTTTGCTAATGTGTCGACTATGGAGCCCATTGTACTCCAGTCAGTGCCACATGAGCGCTACAACAAGGTAACACTTTATATGCAGAATTTTGACATGTCAGACATGCACATTTACTGTAATGATGGTGTACTGATTCTGTCTTGTTTTGTGTGTATGTAGCCTTGTTATATCTGCGAGGACCAGGGCCGAGAGAGTAAAGCAGCCACTGGAGCCTGTATGACCTGCAACAAACATGGCTGCAGGCAGGCCTTCCATGTCACATGGTGAGACTCATTCACATCACATTAGCCTCACTAGACAAAGGAGGAGATTGTTTCTGCAGTTCTTCTTTTAGACTGGCTTAAAGACTTGCCGATTTTACATGCTCTGGTGTTATGTAACAGCAAAACCATATAAATTATATCGGTGTCAATTTTAGTTTTAGTATTTTGGGGCTTTAAGTGCTTAAAATGTGACATTTTCACATGTTAATACTGTGAACATGAGCTGTCCTGTTAATTTTCTTTGAGTATTTGTCTTGCAGCATTTCAAGAGCTGGAATTTAAAAGCTGTAATGACAACACAACCATATTAGAGTGGACAACCCTGGCGTTTTCTTTTGCCACTTCTCATTCTGCTTTCTCAAACAAATCAAATAGTTTGATGTTTAGCACTGGTTGCTGTTATACTTTTTGCGTGGCAATGTATAGTAAATGTTAGAAAGTGTTGTCTCTTTTGTTGGCATCCCTTTCATTTTCTTAACACTACTCTTTACCACAGCGCCCAGTTTGCGGGGCTATTATGTGAGGAACAAGGATCAGATGCAGACAATGTGAAGTACTGTGGATACTGCAAATACCACCACAGCAAACTGGTATGTTCCCCCTCTTTTTTTTTTTTACTGTTGCATGTTTTTGAAGCCACAACTTCACACATCACTAGGCAATATGTTGTTCTACCCAACTGAGTAATGTCTATGTAGCCTTAACATGTTTCTCTACATGTGAGGCCAAATTATTTGTTTGCAAATTGACTTCATATTAGCTTAAAGATGACTAATCATTGACTGTACTAGTTAACCATAGAGCAAGCTTGTGCTTCTGTAAATGGTAATATAAACATAAACTGTGACATTTGTCCACAGAGATGTCTTCCTCACTAGCTTGTATCAGTCTCATGCATATCCTGTCTTTCAGCTCTGTTTCAGTGCAAGACAAAACTGAATAAACCCCTGTGCAATATCTCTATTTAATGATAAAAAATTGTGCTATCTTACAATAACTATCATTCTTACCTTGAAGTGCAGGGTATTCGATGTTATGTATTATATGAAAAAACAGGTTAGATAAACTATATTGACAATATATTTACATTTTTAAGAAACAAAGCTGCTGCGGGTGTTGCACTAATACATGTGTTTAAAATCGGTTTAGGTTAACCCTATAGTCAACCACTGTTGGTGGCCTTCAACTACGTAACCGGTACTGTGACAATATAATAGATCCGAACATATAGAACATTGAAAACTAAATGAATGAAGGGTGTCTTGTGATCGACTTCATTCTTTTTAAACTTTGGCTGAAAACAAATAACATTCTATTAAATGGGCAGATTTGTATATACTTAACATTTTAGTGATACTGACCTGGGGTGTTACTTAGTTTTGTTTTGCACGAGAGTGTCATATCTGTTAACAGTTTGGATGAGGATTTATGTGTTTTTGTTAGCTACAAGCAGGGATCATTGTATTAGTCATACACACACACACACACACACACACACACACACACACCTGTTTTCCTGGAACACTGTCTTCACCTTGTGTGTTATTACTTCTTCTTTAGCTCTTCTGAACCCTGCCTTTGCCCTCAGTACTGCTCTTCTCTGTCTTTTTTTCAACTTTTCCTGCCTTGTCAGTTTCTCTTTCCTGCTCTGCCCATCTTCTTCAGCCAGCTTCCTGTCTCTCCTCGGTCCCTGACCCCCCCACCCCCCCCATCTGCTTCCTCTATGAAAGGACTAATCAATCCACCCATAAAGACCTTTTTTGTTTATTCTCAAGATTGATTTTTTTTTTAACTTACAGTTGATATTCCCTCCCAGATGATAGGTTACTGTTTTACTGCCCACAGTCACAGTCCTGTCTGATCTTTCAAAGTGTCTTTGTCTTTTCTTATGTATTCTGACTGTGCAATCAGCATCATGTATACGTAGTATATAAGCAGCCACGGTGAAGCAGAATTCAATCAGATAAGACAGGAATGAAAATGATAGACACATCAACACACAGATGCAACGGCAAAGTGCTTTCGCTATATACATTCAGCAAAGACGCTTCCGGTTGTGTTTCACATTTTGTTCTACCTCTCCAATTGTTGATAGCCTATCACAATCTGTGTACATATGTACACTTTGCATCAGTTGTAGTGGGAGGGAAATATCAAACTCTTTTGATTCCTTAAACAGTGGTCGCATGGAAACATAGGACAGGCTTTAAAATGTCAACATACACACTCGCAACAAACAGACTCGGATGACATTTTGCAATGTTAACGAACGCTGATGAAAAGACTCGCTGTTATATTGATCTTGTATGAATGGCTTTGGATGCTGGGGCATAATGTCATTAAGCTGAAGTTGTATGAGTGACAGGGATGGATGAGAGATGATCAGTGATGGAGAAAGCAATGTTGTTAGCAGAGCGGGTTTCATAAAATGTTATTTGATGGGTGTTTATGGTGTGTTAGCAACATATGGTATTTGACTAGAATAATGGAATTTCAAGCATACATGATCTTTTCTTAGTCTGGACCACTGTGACATTTTTCTTTGCCTGGCTGTTTCATCACGACCATGTATGAATAATTGTTACCTAGTTTGTAAGCTGTGTAAATGCACCTGTTGATATATGGGCTTAACATTGCACCTTATCCGGGCTCTGTGTGATTAAGTGTTCTTTTAGAGAAAATTTTAAACCATTTATTGTTAAAGTAGGCCTACATAATGTATATTAGCATGGGAATCCAGATTTATACTTTAAATTGTGAGAGATGACCGTGCCAATCAGACAGTAGACTCAGTTGGGTTTATCCCATGGTGCACCAGGTTGCCTCTGAGTTTTTAAAGTTGCCAAAACAAACATAATTCCTGGTCATAGATGAGTACTTTTACTTACATGCTGTATATACACAAGCCTTCATTTGTGCCCAGAGGTAATGCGGCTGTAATTTGAGGAGGTATTTGATTATCACCATGGCAACAGACGCTGTGATTAAGAGCGAACTGGTTTGTGCTAAGTTTATTAGTCTAACAGTGCCCTCGGTCCTGATTGTTGTTGTTCCTTTTTTTTTTTTTTTTAAAGTGTAGTATTGATGATAGTTGTACACTTAAATGACTTAAATGCCAAATGGTTACATTTGTTCAAGGATGTTGAAAAAGGATTTACCTTTTGACAGTGGCAACATAATGTTTTTTTTGTTGTTGTTGTTGAAATACCTATTAATCCAGTGCAATTTGTAAGTAGCAGTAAACGTATTCATATAACCACCACTTATATAACCAGTGCTTGATGACCTTTATGGTTTTTTTTTATAAGTGTTTTTTGAATTTTAAGTTATCCTTCAGTTCAGTCAGACTTTTTAGTTGAAGTTTTCTGCTTTCTCTTTTTATATCATGGAGCTCTTTTTTGGTCTTTGGTCTTTTTAGCCTTTTTTTCTGTGGACTTCATCCAGTAACTTGGAGTTCCTCTTTACCTTTTAGCGAAGGAGCAGGGGCCGTGGTAGTAGGTCTCAAAGCTTAAGTGACTCTACCTCTCAGTGTATGGATAGACCCCCAGAGAAGGACAAGAAGGTAAGACAGCCCTCAGATCTTACCCTCTCTATGCCTCCTACCCATGACTGTGACTCCATCAGAAACATACAGTGTACCTTCACACAGGGAAGTATAAGTAAAACTACTGATCAGGAATCATTTTTAGTAGCTCTTATAATGGCTCCACATTGAGTATTTATGGAGACAGTCTAAATATATTGGTAGGTCATTATTTATATTGACTTTCAAAAGGCATTTTTTGTTTGAATTAATAAGGCAAATAGTAGGCTTTATATTCACAGCAAGATAGCCTGGTGTTTTAGGTCTGTCTGTGCTGTTGTATCTTATATTTTTCAATTAACCAAAACCCAGTAAATGTATCACTGGGTATCATATCGGCTGATTTCAGAAAAAGTATGACTGGCATATTTTGAAATGGATGGATTGCCTTGAAAGGAATCAAATTTGTATCTTGAATTTTTGTTTGATGTTCTCCAGAGGAAATAATAGCTGTATTTCACTGGAGTGCACTATCTATAGTGAAAAATTTGTCCTGACTCAAAACATCAGCATATCCTTCAATGTCACTAAGTAAATATCTAAAATGACAGAAGTCTTTGAATTTAATGTCCGTGCGAGTGCTGAAATTGAGTGTTATAAGCAGCAGCAGCATTTGGATTGTTTTTAGGGTGAGAGTATGACTGCAGCCCACCTACACACACCAGTGATCACAGCCTCTGATAAATGCCACATTAGTGCAACTTAATCAGTCACGCCTATTAGTAGAACATGTAATCACAGGCTGTATAAAATCGGAATTTACAGGAGGTGACAAGTTATCTGTTCCACTTGCCATTTTTACCCACAGTTGAATTAAACCCGTAAACCTTGCAGGCCAATATTATACACTAAGTCAAACACCTGACTGTCCCTTTACAGTAGAGCTGTTGTGGAGAGCTTAGCGTTTTCTCTGTTATTGATTCTCCCACAAAACTTTCCAACAATGTGCCCTATTTGGAATGCAAAGTGCATCCACTCTCACTCTCATTGATTAGTAATCACTGGGAAGAGTTTATATGATCAAAATATTGATGTTGGTGTGTGAGCTTTACCTTTTGTCAACTTCACCAAGCACTAATAGCAAAGAGGATCATTGCAAAGTGCACGGCAGAAGACAAAAGACGCTCAGTCAAATTCGGGTATTAAAGATGTGCTTAGAGGTGTAGTGGTACCCAAAAATCACAGTTTGGCATTACTGTGGTTTTGAATCAGGGTTCAGTTCATTTTTGGCACAGAAAGGGGAAAAAAATGACATGTCATGAATTTGCTTGTCATTTAATATATACTTTTGTAAACAACAGTTTGTGTAAAGCTAAAAAATAGAATACTGCAGCAAACTACAACAAAGCGCTCCAGCGACCAGGGAATGGCTGTTTAAATGATGAAGGCACCAGTGTTTGTACTATGCTTGGTGTTTTTTCTCCTTGTAGCAGTAATACTCAGGTTTGCCTGGGGCCATTTCATGCACAACAAACATGTGCAGTCACCACAGAACGAACGTAGTAAGTGGCATACCGTCTCTGTACTACGATAAGCACGGACACCAGACTTACAAGATTTCTAACTTATTTGCATTAAGAAAACCTAATTGTCTGTACACCAGTTTCTGTAGAATTTTATTTAAAAATGGAAGGTCAGAAACTGGTCAGTAAAAACTGTGGATCTAAACGACTTTTGTTTTTCTTTTTCAAGAGAAGCTTAATCAGCACCTTCTTAAATTCTTTAGGGAAAACACCCAGCTATAAAGAATGATTAATAATTCTTAAATGTTTCTCAGACAAAATAAAAGAAGAGTTTTTTTTTTAAGCGGTTGCTGTTGGATCACGAGCGCAAGTGAAGGACTCTAATGTAACTGTGTCACACTTCTTCCATTACATGCTCCTCTTGTTAGACCTTTTTATGACCTTTTATGGAGCAAGTGCATTGAAGGCTGTAGGCAGCCTGTTATTGAAAATATTTACCATAAACCCAAGACTGTCCACTGAGGAAAGTATAGTAAGATAGCGGTTTTTTAACAACTCACTGTACAGAAGTTGGTAGTGCACAATAAGAGGCATTGGGATATGTACAGTGATGGTCTGGGAGAGTCATGTCAAAAGCAGATGAAATGGTTATACCAATTACAGTTGATATTATTGGGTCGAGTGTGAGTTGGCTCAATAACATGTTAAACATCCATCCAATCCAAACAAAAAGTCTTTTACTTTAGAATTTGCCTTACCGGGAACATGTATATAAAGTCACCAACTGAAATACAGCTATTATATTTTGCATGTATACATAAGAGAAAAGCAAAAGTTAAAGTTAAGAAAGGGCAGAACAGAGTGTCATGGTCTAGATCGTTATTGTTAAAAGTACTGGCTGGTATTTCAATGTTACTGTAGTATAGCCAAAGGCAGAAAAAGCTCCAAGCTTTCAGAGTATATTGCAGCTGTCTTACCACCTTTCCTTTGCTCTCTGCATGATGGAGAGAAAGCATGCAGGATAGGGTTCCCTTAGTGTTGCTGGTGCAACCAGGTTTCAGTCAGGAAGAAATGGCTTAGCTCATGATCAGTAAAAAGGTGACTAATATCTAAAATCTTGCTAGTTTATGCCCTTTAAGACCTAAGACAACAGACCTAAGCAGTTGCCTGATTGCCCTATGGTAAATATCAGTTTAGTTGGAGAATTTGATTGGATTGCTGGAGGGATCCTGGCACTATATGAACAGTCGTAGAGACACATGGGAAGCCAGTCAGACTGGTGGAGCCAGGGGACATCAGTAATGGTTGGACTGGTCAGAGTGAGTAGATGTCAGGAAAACGTTTCACCTGTGCGGGCCACAGTACAAAATGTTTCCAAATAGTAGTATTGCCAGGCAAAATGTGCACATGCAGAGGAGTGAGATGGTTAAAAAATGCACGATTTCCCATCTGAGCATTCTGCATGGTCAAATATCGGATATGATTTTAATATAGGACCACATATGGAAGTAGCCTTGATCTGATTTGAAAAAAAAAATTGTTTTGGCTTATTCTTTTGTGTTAAAAAAAAAAGATCTGAGTACAGTGAAGGGAAACAAAATTCAGAAAAGGGACACTTGATCATGTAATATGAATGTTGCCTTTGTCTACTTGGTCACTGTGTCTGACAGTGCTTCAGGATGGTGGTGTGTGCACATAGTATTCAGTCCCCCCTGCTCTGGCCATTGCTAAAACTGCATGATATGCATTAACCCCCCGAGACACACACACACACACACACACACACACACACACACACACACACACACACACACTCCATCCACATTGCAGGGTCAGAGATCAGTGAGCTCAGATGTGTGTTTCCACACATGCATTTGTTATGTGGTTTGGAGGCTCAGATGCTCAGATGTGTACCCACATCATGTTAGACCCTGCAGTCAAACGGCAGCAGGGGCTAAAAGATCCCCCATACTGGCCGCTTAGAAAAGACCCGCAGGAAACACACACACACACACGGACACAAATCTGTTGCACACACACAGTGGCTGGTCAGAAATCCTGCAGGAAACTTCACGGGGGAATTCCTGCCAGGCTAGAGCGGATTATTTCCCCCCCTTACTTCCTGTTCCTTCATTTCTCCCTGTCTTTCCTCAGCCCCCCTCATTGATATCTGCACCCTTTCCTCTTCTTTCTGATCCATTCTGTTGAACAGTGAAACATTTACAATAGATTTTAGTTCAAATTAAATGCAATACATTGTCTTGTTATAAGACAATTAAGTTTGATCATCTATAATGTCTTTGTGAATATAACAGCAGGGAAAGGTATCACAACTTAAACACATTCTACAACAGGCAGCAGCTTTCTTGATGCTTTAATATGAGAGTTTGCTGCTTTACTTGTTTAAAACAAGCAAGTTTGGTCTAGGAGTTGGGTTACATATGAGCATTGTATACTATGTTATATTTCATTTCCTAAGCAAAGTTATCAATCCAAACCATAGATTTAGAAAATGGCAGATGAATTGAGAACAAAAATAACTGCAGACCCTGAACCCAGATTTAATGTTTTTAAATTTAGTGACAAAATACCGAGCTTTTGCTTTCCAGCGGACTATAAACAGAAGTAGTATTTCTCTCCTGATGAATGAGTTCATCAGTTCGTAGCCCCCTGATCAGCCAAAAGTTGAACTGATCATTGTTTAGGGCTTAGTTGATAAATAGACGCAATCCTCATCCTCTGCCACTACTCATATTTACTCAACACACTCTCAAAGACCACTAGGACACGTCAAATGATCAGTCTGCTAATGATCAGCTGCAGAGAAAGAGGGGACAGGAAAAGGTGAAAGGCTTTGTCTGCTTGTATAATCAGTTGACCCGATTGATAAGTGTGTGTCAGGCTTACATTGTGTGTATATTGTTTCCCACGCCCAATGTTGTGGATCCTCTGTGTGTGTGTGCATGCATGTGAGTGTGATAGCAAGACAAGTATGTACTTGTATGGCCAGCAGTGTGAGGAGTTTGAATTTTAAGACAAGGGAGTGAGGACATTGTGTCTGGTCCTCGCTTTCTCAGACCCCCTTTAAAGGGCTGCTTGATGGTCAAGACTTGGTTTTAGGGTTAAAGTTAGAATTAGGTCAGGGTTGTGTTTAGGCATTTAGTTGTAATGGTTAAGTGTTAGGGAATGCAATATGTCCTGTGAATGTCCTCCCAAAGATAGCTATACTATACAGAGGTGTGCATGTGTGTTATCTGGCTCTGTCAGCTCAGTCTCTGTCCATCAACACCTACATCTGGAATGTTAATGAAAAACAACAAGGGAATCCCAAAGAATTTACGCCTCTGTCTCCCTCTCCCCACAGTCAGCTCACTTTTCTGTCGTGGTACATGCAGTTAAATTGAATTATCTCACTTTGTAAAGTCACAAACTGTATCCTGTGTTTCTTCTTGGGTCTTTGCTTTCAAAGACACTGTTGTTTAAAATAATAATAAACCAAAAGAAGTTTAACTGAAATCAATTGTGATGATTCTTTAGCTAATTTATCAAGCAAAACAGGAGAAGGTGCTGCTTCCTGCTCTCAAATGCAAGGATTTGCTGCTGTTCCTCTTTTTACATGACTGTAAATTTAATATCTTTGTCAGTGGTTGGACTGACCAAGTAATTAAGCTATTTAAAGACAACTGGTCTTGGAAAACTGTGATGTACATTTTAGAGCTCAAACTATTGAAGAATTGAGCGCTCAGCTGCAGCCGTTAGAAACTCATGCTGTGCAGTCAAACTGTGTGGAGACTCCTACAACAGTATATTAAATTCTTGTGGAGATCCCAGTGTTTCAAAAAAGACTAAATATGTCAACATTTTGGAGGAAATGTGTATACAGTTATGCACAGAACATCAAGAATATTTCCATTTGAGTTGGTGCATTTGTAAGAAAGCCCTAGGTCTGATTATTAAAACATCAAAACCCTGTTGAAGTTTACAACTCAGACCCTCAAATACACACATGAACAGAACTCTGTAGCATGTTTCTTAACCCCAGAGCCTCAGCATTAGCGGAAGCCAGCATTCAGAGAGGTTACCGGGGAGTTGCTATCTCCTGATTTAGCTGGTGATGTCTGTTAACTGCCACTTACTGAGGAAGTCTGGCTAAACCGTCACCAGCCGCTATACAGTAAGTCCTCAATGAGAGCCTGAGTGGGGGAGGAATGAGGAGGGGCAGTTTCTTGTGCTTCAGAGTTGTCATGACACTGAGCATCAGCATGTTGAGTCCCATGTTGTCTATCGGGATCGCTGCATATTTCCGCCGCCTGTCTCTGACAGCGTGTATGTTGGTGCTGATGTGTGTCTGCATGCAAGCGAGTGTCCATGTAAAAGTGTGTGTGTGTGAGCATATGTACACCTGTCAGCTTGTACGCACGTGCAGAGAGGTGTCAGGGTGCGGGGCATGCATGTGAGGTGTAAATGTGCTAGCGCCCAGTCACCACCTAAGGATGTGAGAGTAGGGTGGCGGCGTGTGTGTGTGTGTGTGTGTGTGTGTGTGTGTTAGTAAGGGTGTAAATTGAGCTGTGATGGTCCAAGGAGGATGATATTGGATGAAACGATCTTATACAAGACCTTGTAGGCTACGGCACAGGGCACTTAGATGCACTGTGCTTTAAACTGCAGCTGAATTCCTGTTGCATCCTGCCCCCTTTTTTATCTCAAAGCTTTCATCTGAGCCTTTGAAATGCAATGCTCTCTGTTTCTCTCAGCTCACACTCTCCCTCTTCTGTTTTTATATCCAGTAACTTGTATGTTAGTTTTTTTTTCTTTCTCACTCCAACACTTGGCTGTGCCAGCTAGTTTGTCTCCATGTTCAGTTTTTCCTGTTGTCGTGTGCTTTTCCCACCCCCATTGGTATATGCAGAGGGTTATTAGGTGATGTTTTTTTCTTTGTCTTTATTTTTCCCCTTCCTGTATGGTGTATTAAGCAGCTTCACATGTGGTTCTTCTTTTTTTCCTGTTCTCCATGTTCAGAAACACAAGGAACGGGACAGGAACAAACCGAAACACAAGAAAACCTCCATGGATATGTCGCCCTCCCTCGTCCTTCCAAACATCATGGTCCCAGACAAAGTGAGGGCACTCCTCCACTCTTCACTCCCTTGTTTGTGTAGAATTTTTACAGGACTAGTTAAATATTGGCTGGTTGACTTTCTTCTTTACCTTGATAGATGCATTTTGCTCTTCTTCTGTGTCCCTCCTCTCCTCCTACTGACCTTTCTTCTGTTTGTGATCCTCCCTTTTTTTAACTGGCATTGTTTTGATAATTTTCCTTCCGTGTATGGGTGCTTCTCAAGGTTGTTATCCTCCCTTTTCCTTCAGTCACAGTGTTTTTAATCTTTCAACCCCATATTCACCTTCCTCCTCCAGACCTACAACAGCACCAACTCAGGGGGAGGTATCGCCTCTTTGTCCTCGTCCACACCAAAACGATTGGACGACAACACTGGCCGTTTCACCAACGCCAACTTTCAGGAAGTGTCGTCCACTCACACTGGTGGCATTTGCAAAGATGGCTTGGCTGCAGACACTGGAAAGGCTGCGTCTGAGGTGAAGAACAAGAAGAACAGCGGCGCAAGTCATGCAGTGGGACAGAGGGGTGGCCGCAAGTCTATCGCCTCCTCAGGGAAACCCCTCCCCTCCTGTGTGGTCACCATGGCAACCTCGTCCACATGTGCCTCTGCTTCCACGGGGCCTTTCCACCAAGGTGAATTGATAGCTGCAAATGGCCCTGTATGTTAATTCTGTAGTTAGAAAAATGGAAACGCAGTAACAAATCATCTGGCGTTACCACTTTGTCCACCTGTTAAAAAAAAAAAATATATGCAAGCGGAGCACAATTCAAATTAAAGCAATATAATTAAAACCCAAATCAGAATGTCATTCATGCATTTTTGTCTGAGTGTGTTATCATTGGCTAGATTTGGCCAGAAGCCAAACTGTAGTCCTTGGCCATGATAGCATTGTTTTGTCTTGACTGCTCTCTGGCTCCTGGAATCTAGGGCCCTGTCTCTGGGAAAAAAAAAATGAACACATGGGGAGGTCAGGACCTGAAAGGAGTCTTTGCTTGCACTGTTTTGTACTATCTGAACCTTGAAACCCGTGTCAGATGTGTGTGTTTTGTTTGTGTCTAGCAGAAAAATTATCTGTTTGTTTGAGTACCTATTTGTCTGCTTTCAAGGCAGTTTCTCAGTTACATGGGAGGACTAGACAATGAGGGAGAGCTGACTGTAGAGCAGATAGAGAATGGAGGGCAGATAAAATTCTTATTTTGGTTATCTTGTCTCTGCTGCTCCCATGATGAAAGGGGAGTAGTGTGGAAATTCTTCCCAGCTGTTACATATGGTTCCTCTGTGTTTTTCCCCTCATTCTGTCCCGCTGTGCTGTATCTTCATCTCGTTCATTTCTTTGTCTCTTCTGCTTGCCTTCTCTTTTCTGTCTGTTGCTGTCTTGATTTTCCAGGCCTCCTGTTGACCAGTGCCAGCAAGACACCTGCTGCTCCATCCTCCGCCGACTTCTTAAGTTTCTCTGATTCATCGTTGCGTCCTGGGGGTGGAACTACCTTTTCCTCCCCGCCATCTTTCAGCAGTTGCCTTATGAAGCCCAGCTCAGAGGGTGGAGCTTCAGAGGGAACGTCAACACTCTTCAGTTCACTTATGTCTGCTACTACGGCCTCTGCAGGTGCCAGACATCTATCATTTATGTCTTTAGTGATATATATGTTGTTACTTTAGTTATATGCTTAATCATTTATTTTATTTATTTTCTTTTTTGGTCATCACATTTCTGATTTATTACAGTGCATGAAAGCAGTAGCAGGAGTAAGTTTAACAGTTAAAGGTGCAGTCCACCAATTTCACCTGTCAAGGGAAGTACGTTGTAGCCTGTGAAAACTGCTGTATAATGTCTTCTCGGGCTTTAGGAAATTAGCTAAGCGGTTTTGAGGACTTGGATTTATAACAAACTGTGGGAGGTTTGATACATTTGGGTGGTTACTGGTTATGTCCTGTTGTATGATTCAGTATTTTTGGAGCTTGGTTCATAACGGGGACCAATCAGGATTGAAATTTTTTTTTTTTTTTAATCCTTTGGATTTTTCCCCCCCTGCATCCAACTGTTAATTCACCGGAGTTCTCTAGTTTCATGTTTTCTCACTCCTTTGTTATTGTAAATTAAATGTCTTTGAATTTTACACTATTCTCTGAGGTTTACAGGCCACACTATTTATTTATTGAGAAACAAATCAGCACTTTAATCAATAATAAGAGTAGTTGTTAGAAAATGAACATGGCACAGTGTGTGCTTTGTGACTTTCTTATTGTATTGATGGTTCTCAGGCCAGAAAACCACAACAAAGCAAGAAACTGCACTTAAATGTTTACCTCTGCTTTCTCGCCATTGCAGTGGGGGGGAAGCTGTATGATAATTCCCACAGTCACACAGTTAGCGAGATGCCAAGCCTCGGTGGGACCGCTGGATATAAACGGCCACAGCCCTCCGGCTCAGGACCAGGGATCGGTGGAGCAGTGGCAGGAGGAGGGGATGATGGCGTGAAGAAGAAAAAGAAAGGCAACTGGCGAAACAGATTTGGACCTTGCTTCACTACAGATGTGAAGCCTGCAGAGCCAGCCCCCACCCTGACTCTCCCCCCCTCCTCCACAGCCAGTACCTCCTCCTCCACCGTCTCCCCCTCCTCCTCTTCACCCTCAACATTCTCAGGCCGTCCAGGTTTGGTTTCCAGCAGTGGATTAGGAGTGGGAGGAGGAGGAGAGAGGGGGCTGGGGGTCATGGGTGTCAGCGGTGGCATTCAGAAGTCCCCGTCACTCCTCAGGAATGGGAGTCTGCAAAGCAACAGTGGCTCCACAACCACTGTGCCAGGTGAGGAAAACACATAAATGTAACACACACGCACACAACAAAACATTTCACAACAATCAGGTCTTTTGGTGAGAAATATTGTCTTACATACCCCTGTCTGTCAGTGTTGTTGGCATTTTGAAAATTATTTTAACTTCTTTGCTGTTGTTAAATAGCATTGATTTTGTCCATTTTTTAAATTTAGTTTTAGTTTAGTCTTAGTCATATTTAATCTCCGTTTTTAGAATTCTCTCAGTACATTTTAGGCCTCTCTTAGTCATAGTAAATCATTTTAGTTTAGTTTTGATCAGCAAAAACACGTTTTTTAGTCATTAGTTGTCAAATGTTTTGCTTGCAATCAGGCACAGAGATTATTTTATTTTAGTGTCATAGCTTTGTGCTAGCCGCCTTATACGTTTATCATGACATCCAGTTTAATGAGGCAAATTTTGATTTTAATCCAATGAAAATTAAATTTCCTCCAACAATATATTATGTTTTTATGAATTTTATGTTACTGAAATGGCAAATATAATTTTGAGCCATACAAATGGAAGGATTTTGCATTTATTGCTGAACGTTTCCTACCATACCGGCACAAGTTGTCACTCCATAAATACTGATATTCAGTCATGCAGTCAAATGTGTGGGCGTCTAGTCTGACGTTATTAATTTAAGCAATGCATCCAAACTTAAGAGGATATAACAGTAAAGTCTGGAAAGTTGTAACATTAGCAATTCCAGTGCCACCCAACTCTTGCAATAGGACTAAATAATTGTTGTGGCCTAAACTGTGTTTGATAGCACATACCCTGAGGATCCAAAAAACAAGAAAACTCTCCACAATTGAAATGAACCCTATAACAACAGCCCTGCAGCTGGGCCCTGTGGTAGTCCTGTACTAGACTGTGTTAAACAGTAAGTGTTTACAATAGATTGTACACTGTCATTTAAATACATTTGTAAAGAAGGTATTTGGAACTTATTTGCATACAACACAAACCAAGTACTAGTACACTGGCTACTGCCCCAGATTCAGACAATCTTCTACATAAGATTCTGTGCATTTTAACAACCAGGATGATTCACAGATATGCTCAGTTTAGCTGCATGTACCCATTCAAAATCAAAAAGACCTGACTATCAAAGAAGTATGGTAATTTTAATTGTGAATGTTTTAGCATGGATAGCTCATCTCTCTCTCCCTCTCCCTCTCAAACACACATACCATATATATATATATATTGAATTTTTTTCAGGCACATTTTACCTTTAAACAATCTTAAGCGAAAGGTTACCAAAGTTAGCTGGCTGAGCTGTTGACTTTTCAGAGAGGCTAATCCCCAACCTGCAAGCAATGTAGCAATGTCCTGCTGTTGTGAAATGCTAATACATAATGTTACACCATTGCCTTTTGTAGCTGTAATGTTAGTTGCAACACCATAATTGTAGGTTACCTCAGTTTCTGTGCAGTGCACCTCGAGGTGTCTCTTCAGGTTTGTGATTTTTGTTCCCAGTAATTTTATGGCAGCATGACATCTCTGCCAACAATACTATACACACATATTTCTCTCTGATACATTATTTTTAAAGTGGGTCCAAATGTTTGACCAAACCCTGCTATTGCAGTCCTGTCTTTTTTCCTTCACCATGTTTTCCAAGCCACAGTGTTAAAGTGCATACATTATCTAGCGCTGTTGTGTGCGTCCAGTGGAGTGCTGCTGGTGTGCAGAGTCACCAGGAGGATGACTGAGGCGTGCAGCAAGAGAAACATTCAGCAGTGTTTATTGTTCAACCCTCTTTTTTTGCAGTTATTGTTTCATCTCATCTTCATTATAGTTAAAAATGTTGTTGACACACAGATTTCAGTTTAATAATACTATTGATAAGCAAATGGCCAGAAATGATAAGCTATTGTTAGCAGCTAAAATTAGGAAGAGGGGTAATTTAATAATCTATTTATGATATTAATGAGCTATGAGCCTGTTAGAGAAAGAAATTGTCCTGTTGTGGTCACCATAGTGTCAACAGATGGCTATAAGGGAAGTGGCTGATGTGTCATTGTTGCACTGGACTTTGTTTGTGGATTACCTCTGTGCAGAAAAGTATTAGACATTTTCACTCACAAATGGTAAACATTTGACACACCTTTGTAATTGGCTCCTTGTGTGTGTGTCTATGTGTTATTTGCTCACATGGAAGTGGTCTGTATGCCCCCCCAATCACATTCAGTTGCTTGGCAACTGTCTTTATGCTTCGGAGTTCCCCTCTGTTGATCAGAATGGCTCAGTACAACCCACACATCTCCTCTTTCTTCCAGAATCACCTCCCTTTTGTTTCTCCCTCCTGCCTTTCAGCTGCTCGGTCTTACCTGCATTCTGTTCATTCCTTTAATCCTCAGCCTCACCTGTTGATGGTTTATGCAGTTGGAGGTGTGTGTTAAGTCACAAGCGCATGCATATACTGCATGTGCATAGGCATAGTGTCCATGCTTTTTAAGACCAAATGAAGAAAATATATGCCCTTATAAGACTGATATCTATCAGTGAGCAATAGGATCAGCTTATTATACAATGACTGCCCTTTTTTTTTCTTGTTCTTTGACATTTTTATCTAAGGTGGTTTCATAAAAGACCTTCAGGTCCCTTTGTTTGTTGCTCTGGGTTTTTCTTTCTATAATATTTGATGACTCCAAATTCTAAAATGTTAATGTATTTTGTCAGTAGTGCTGTTCATCCCAAATTATGCAAAGCATCTTGTTAAACTGCGTATGGCCTTTATCTTCCAAATTTATTATTAATTTTGGACACGTCACTCAGTGCCAAACTAATTATATTGGAGCATCTTTACAGTCTAACAAATCTGTTTTTGTTATGTATTTTTCTCCATAACAGTATAGTTATTACAGTGTGTAAAAAATTGTGGTTGATAATTAGAAGTGTAACAATTTTTTTTTTAAGTTTTTGGTTTGTATTAGGGCTTTTTTCTATTTAGTACTCTATCAACTATTTTGCCAAAAAAGTCAATTCATCTAAATTATTAATTTTGCTCCAAAAAGGTTCATGTTCCAACAAGCAAAACATATTCAAACCTTAGATTGTATTTAAAAAAAAGGGCAGAAACACAACACACACACACACACACACACACACACACACACACGTGCCTTGTCAGTCAGTGCAGAATAAACCTAAACATTTTCTCATACACTTATTCAGTGGAAAGTCTAAGGTAGCGAAAACATGATTTTTTTTTCTTTTGGTTTTATAATGAATTTAGCAACTACAAGGGCAAAATATATTTTTAAAAAATTCCCTGCTAATTGTAATTTCATAAATATGAATAGACAACACATGGTGGTTTTCATCCATAAGTGCACCTGTGTGTTTTCTCTGCAGCTGCTGGTGCACAGCACTTGTGCTTCTCTGGGATGCTAGTGAAACTTTGCAGTTGCACAAACCACCTTTTTGTTTTATGGTAATTTGAAGTACTCCCATACTTTTGATGCCTTGGGTCTTTGGAATCTTTTACACTGCACCTACTTTGCAAATGACTCTGCAGCCACAATTTTTTTCTAAAACCGTAGAGTGTACTGGAGCCAACCAGCGACTGGAGCCAAAAACGACGTATGTAAGCATGCAGTAATTAGTGATTTAATTCTTCATCTGGCAGTTGGCAACCAGCTATGTAGTGATACTGAATAGAAACATTTGTCTTATTTAATAATTAAAGCATTTAGAATTCATAAAATTCATAAAAATACCAAAACAACGCATCACTTAAAAATATTGATGTTGATGCGTTTTCAAAGTTGATGTAATTGATTATGTCGACTAATCATGGCAGCCCTATATATGTGTGTGTGTGTGTGTGTGTGTACAATATCTCATTTGTCCTACTGTAAATATTTAGCTGAGGGTTAAAGCTGAGCAGTAATGGGGAGGATTGCCGTTTATCCCCCCTCCATCCTGTCTGCTGACTCCACTGTGCGGTTGATAGATAGTTAGCCTGAAAGATATGTGTTGTGGGTGGGGAGGTAGGGGGATGGATTTTGGCTAGGTTAATGTTTGACAGCAGGGGGGTCACTGATGGGATGGGCGAGCTGCTGGAGTGCAGTGAGTTTGGTGTATGTGGGGGAGGAAAGATGATCGGTGGATATGAATTTTTTTTCAATCCATGCCCCTTTCTCATCCATATAAAAGCACCAGAAAAAGCTATAAATGTATGAGAGAGAAGGAAAATGAGACATGTGCTTCTGTTAATTGTTTATTTGCTTAATTGATGCTTATCATCTTTCCTTAGCTTTATTCAGCTGTAAGTATTTTGTTTTATCCTTTCAGGAACTCATAAGTGGCAGCAGCTTGGTCTCACTTCTGAAAACCATGTGAGGCAAAGTTGTGAAAAATGGAAATATTCAGTGAACATGGTTTCATTTAAATACCAAATCAAGCATATTTGTAACGTATGAAGCCTGCATTTGCAAGCTGTTAATAGATGAGTTGACAGATGAAACACATTCTATTGTGATGGTATCAGAATTTTCGAAGAAGCTAAGAAATTGTAAGGAGATTTAGGAATACAGGTATTTTTGGGCTTCTTTGAATTTTAAATTTTATTTTGTTTATTTGCATTTTCACAGTTTTTCCTCTAAGCAGCTGCAGTTATTTTTTAATTAGTATTTTACTCACAGCACTGTGCCCGAGTGTGTAAAATTATTTAGGTAAATTTAAACAGGGATGTTGTAAGAAAAACAAGACACACACACTGACAGCCCACAACAAGTAACGCATCTGAAAATTGGAGACAGACCATTTTTAAGCCATATGTGTGTGTTCATTAGTAAACACTGCTGAATAAGTGATTTTTTTTTTAAAGAGCATTTTCATTTGAGTGTACAGTAGTTTGGTCACCCCTTGATCTGAAACTGTGAAACTGTGTTGTGTTTTAGTTCTGCACAAATAATTGCTGAGATTCTTGAGTTTATTGTCTGGCCATACTGTTGTTGACTCTGCAACTGACATGGCTTTATTAGTCTATTGCAAACCCTAAATTAATTGTTTGATGTACCCACACAGACAAGCACACACACTTACATTCCCTGCCCTTCATGTAGCTCTGCTCTGTCAACAAATTGCTGTGATGTTTAAATGCATTTCTGTTTAGCTGTGGTGATAGAAATTTCTCAGAATAACAAATGTCTTTCTGTTGCCACGAAGTTATTCAGTGTTTGTCTCCATGTTCCATTTTTAAACCATGATTAAATGACTGTAGTTTTCAAAAACAAGCTGCGTGGCCCCCGTGTTCAGCATCATCCTGCTGCTTAAATGGAAATGTGTCTCTGAAATATAACGGAGGGAATTGTTAGTCAAAAACTGATTAAGCTGTTTAGTAACAAAGCATGATGGACTCAGCCCTCTCTAAACAGACAGTATAGAACTGACTTAAACTGCATATTTTTGAAGTTTACAAATGTACTGAGCAGGAACAAATGTAACAAGACTGTCGTGCTTCAGGGGCTTAAAGTTATTGATCATACAGATAGGTTTTATGTTTTACATGCTCAGGCTTGTGTGCGCAAATGTTTTTCACTTGTTTTCTTTTATGGTCCTTTTGTAAGTTTTACCCAAAGCATTAATTTAAAGAATAATTTGTCTGTAATATTTGAAAATGTCCTTACCAGAGTTGGCAACAAACAGTGAGAATATACCCTTTAGAAATAACAATTCCTTGTCAACTATGAAAAGCAGCCTTGTTGTTTACATGACTATACATATTTTCCATTTATTTAATTTATCTTTTTTAAAAGAAGGTTTTATTACTGCGTGTGTTGGCCAGGTTTTTTTTTTTTTTTTTGTTTTACTTATGGTGGTGTTTTTAATTAATTCAGCTTTTCAAGTGAAACCTGAGAATCACCAGAGGGGTTTCACCTAAAAGTGAACAGATTTAAAATAAAAGGATGATATAAGGCGCCTACTATAAATAAAATACATTTAAACCTCAAAAGTGCAAAAAATTTACACATTCGCTTATAAATTGCTTTAACATTTTTACATTAACTTTCCTGTATACACACAAAGAAATGTTCAGGGATATGAGATTCAGTTTCTAAAATTCAAGTTTTCTTATGAACAAGTAAAAACAGACTCATTCAGTTTTGGGACATTTTAAATTACTTAAAAATTAAAATGAACCTGTATGTTTTTTTCCTCTTACGATCACTGTTTTTGCACCCTTAGTGTTTTTCCCATTTCATCGACAGCATGAGCTAAACTCTGGTAAGATGTTGATTTGGCCTCTAATCCAGCTGCTAAAAATCTTGCCGGTGCACATGCCCTTTGAGCCTCGGCAGCCATGCTTTGTTTATCCATTTTTCTGGTGCATATTACAAAGTGTTATAAATAGTATGTAGGCCCATGTAGTATTCATATCTCTCTCTTTCTCTCTCTCTTCCTTGCTCTCCTTCTCTCTTCCTCCACCCTTCTCCTCCTGGCACAAAGATCTCTTGTTCCCCTAGTGAATGTGCGCTGCCCTGAGCCATTCAGGCTTTTGTGGGGCTGAGGGGGCCTCTCTCCCCCTCTCCTCTGCTGGGGTCAAAGGGGGGTAGGGGCAGGGTTTATTCCTGGTTAGTCAGCGAGCACAGGGGTATGTGAGGGGAGGGAGGATAGAGATGGAGAGAGCGCACAAGTAAAGAGATAAGAGAACAGAGCATTCATATTGGTATTTGGAAATGGATTAGTAGGTTTGCGTAGGTGATTTAAAACCGTGTACTGTGTAATATAGTATTTCTAAATTTTAATATGCTGAATAAAATTGTCTGCAGATTTTTGAAGCTTTGCGTCACCAGCTCAGTTTGTGTTTCTTTATGTTTGAACTTAGACTCAGTGGAGTTTTTGCCAATATAAAGAAACCAAATCATCTAACTGCAAATCATTTGTGGATGGTGCTAATAATGCATTAAATTTGTTAAAGTCAACAGATCTGCAGCCTGTTTAATACCTAATTTTAGATGTTCCTTCAACATTGAATAAATGACTCATGCTTTACAGTAACTATCAGCATATTTCTCTTTTTATTGAAAGATTTTTTTATTGCTTTGGTTTAAACAATTGGAATGGCAGGTTGACATTATCCAGTTAAAATGTGTTTAACTGACATTGTGACAAGGCTCTTACAAGAAGCAAGAACAAATACTATACTATACCAAAATGCACAGAAAAAAAAATCATAGCAAGAGTCCCAAAAAATAACCAACATTTTACAGCCACTGCACTGTCAAAGACTGAGACTTATTGCAG